CCCAAAAAAAAAGGAAGAGATTCAGTAAAACCTACAGTACCCAAAATGCATTTATCAACCAAACCAAAATCGCTTTATACACCATAATATAATATAATAGCTGGCTCAAAATTAGAGAGAGTTGGCGCTTGTAGGGATGATTTTGAATGTTTAATGTATAAGTATGTATGTACATACTATGCATGCATGCAAATGCAATGGGTTAATGCATACGTAAATGGGGCACGCATGAGGTGGTTTTACAACAACCTGCTCAACAATATGCAACTTGCAACCCTTAAATTTTAGTCATATGTACGTTTGTATGTGTATAAATATTAAAAGAAAATATAAAAAATCTTTTCTTGGGAGAGTTTTTGAAATTTTATTATGAAATTATTATCGTTAGCGTTTATAATTTTAATTTCATAACAAAAATAAGTCAATAAATAGACGTACATAAATACATACATATCCATATGTACACATTCATAACCCAGAACGATATTAAACGTTTAAAAGAAAGCCCATTCATTCATAATAATTATAACGTAGCGTATCTTGATACATATGTATGTATGTATGTATGTATTTGTCGCTGATTGCCTTTCACCAGCAACATTGAATCTAATATATGTACATAGCTGACGTGTATCTACGAAATTCGTTTTCTTTCTAGTGCGCTCAAAGCACACGCACGCAATTTCAAAAACAGTTTTCGAGAACGACAACAAATGAGCTTTTGTTTTTTAAGCATGTAGATACGTACATACATATGTATGTATGTAAGTGTATTATTTATTGAGTGCAACGATTTCATCAGCTCATATTTTGCTAATTCTAATGACAATGTGAATTTTGTTTATCAAAAGTGTTTTTATTATTGTTGTCATGACAACGCTGCTCAATTGCTACTACATACATACATACGGACAAGTATGGAATTTCCGAGCGGCGCTAAGCTCTTCCATTTCTCTGCGTATGGTGCGGAGAACGTTCTCATCTGTTTGCGAATGGTGTGTTAGCGATTGCTAGGGATGTCAGGTATTGTGCGCAGTGAAAGGTTTTAGAATGGTTTTCGAGATAACATTTATGTATATAATATTATGTGTAGTGGCGAGCCTTAGTAATAATTGTTTATGAATCAACTTGTTTTTAGGAATTTCATGTTTTTAGGCATTTGCTTACAAAGATTTGATAACAGTTTTGTTTTTGCTATTAATATTCTGACCAATCAGCTGCTACCACGTTTTTTTTAATATGAAATAAATATGAAAAAAATTTGGCTTGCGAGGGTTACAAGGCAAACTTCAGCACGTATATAGCTACAAAAAATTCTTGTGAAATACTTTGTCAACTTTACGCTAAAAAAAACCAGAGCGAAAGTGAGAAATGCACAAAAAAGTGTTGTTGAAGCACTCTTGGGAACATATTTACTGCAGCAGGCTTTTATTGTATGAAGTTGTATTAACCCATTCACATATTTATATAATACATATACATATACAATTTTGTAATTTTTACTTTATATATATGTGTGTACATCACAATGAAAAAAATAAAATTAAAGTAGAAATTACAAAATTATATATATATAATATATATAAAAAAATTATATATATATATATATATATATATATATACATATGTGTAATTTTATTTTTTTTTTTCATTTATTATTTATTTTATAAAAAATACAGTTAATTGGTACCCATTTCCAACAGTGGTCGTTAAATAGTTAAAAGCCTATATGCATATGGTAGTAAAAATGTCATGTACAAATGTTCCTTCCTCTCACTCTTTTTTATTTGAAGTATCCAAGTACATATGTATGTACATATTACATATAAATTTCTCCTATTTCATCATATTTCGAAAATATTTATATTTTTCAAGCGCAATGGTATTGCGCACTGGTGCAAATTATAAGGTGCCAGTTTTTGTTGGACCCTCGTGGGGGTAAGAGGTTAGGTCATTAATTAACATGTATTTGTTGTTGTTAATAAGTGATGAAGTGCCCAGTTATTATTGTTTTATGATGTGGAAATTCAAAAAATAGAAATATGAAATTATAATAAATAGAATGAAAATAAAATTAAAAAAAGATAAGAATAAAAGTACAAGATATGAGAAATGAGATTAAATAATAACAAAAACTAATACTCGAATCTATTAACAATAATAACAAAAAATATCACTTCTAGTTTAATTCTTTTGCATATTTGTGAATACAAATATACATATGTGCCCATATATATATTGTAAATATATTCAATATTTTTAAAAAGTGAAATTTGGAAATAGAAAAACTGAGAGTTTCTCAAAATCTGTATATTATATTTGCAACTTTTCAATTTAATTTAAACTAGGAAGTTTGCAACTTTATATTTTCAATTTGCCGAAGATTACCAAATCTTTTATTATTATTATTTTCTACTCGTTGTATTTAATTTAATTTGATAAACTTAAAATTACAGCATTTATTTTGATTTCTTATTTTTTATGACTTTTTTTATTAAAGCAAAAAGTACCTGCTAACGCAAAACAGTTTTCATACATACGCTTTTTAATTAATTAGTTACGTCTATTTCACAATAATAGGAATTATTCAATGTTCAACTCTTCAATATTGATTTCATAACAAAATTTAATTGTGTATGGTGTTTTATAAAGGAATGCCCGGGTAACAAAGAGAAGGGGGAGGAGCTGTAATATTCTCCATATGAATAAAAATATTTGCATAAAGTTAAAAGATTGTACTTAATAAACGGTTTCATAATTATTACAAAATATTTAATAAAACGTATGAGAGTACATATTAAAAAATAACTTATTGTAAAGTTGTATGATTATGTTACTATCAAATGTTTTTTTAATTAATATGGAGTAGAAAACTCATAACTGAAAATAAAAAAATTTAATAAAATTATTTATTTTTCAGTTATTTTCTTTTTGAATTATTTTACCAGCAGTTTTTTTATTTTTTACAAAAAAATATATAAAACCCTATGCAATTCGCCGTTAAGAATAATGAACCACCCTACTAAAACACATACTCATACAAAAATACATGCCACTGATCCTCATTGATATAAACATTGATTTGCTACATAATTCAAAAACGCTTGTTGCCTGTATATTAAAAGCCTTAGCTACATTGTGGCCATCACGGCGAGGTATCGAGACTCAACCATTTATGTATATAAACATGAACATGAACATGAATATGTGAAAGGAAGAACGCACGCGCAACTGTACATTTTTTTCAGGCTAAGTACACAAAGTGAGAGAGTGGAAGAGAGATTTTTGAACAGTGATGGTTCGTATGAAATAATGCTACGTGTAGTATTGAAATTGTTGCAAATACTAAAATTTGTTTTCGAAATACCTTACCTCGTTAGAAATATAATTTTCTAATTCCCCATTTTTTACATTTCTAGGACAATAATTATTATAGCACATTCAAAAATTTGTGTAGCTCACAATAACAAGTGATACAAAATAAAATAAAATACTTTTTCTTGGGAAACAACACTGAAAGAGTTTTTGGAAAATTGCTAGTATTTTTCCTTCATTGAAATGTACATTTATCTGTACATGTAAACCAATTTCACCTTAATCAGCTACATTTTCTATAATACCTACTACATTAATTGTACCTCTAATCATTTTCAAATGCAAAAAAAAGCTTGATTTTCCAACACTGCAGGTCTGAGGGTGAAAAGTAATTATCTGAAGCAACTCTCCCTACCTCAGCAACATGTTGATAAAGGAATTATTTACAACCAAAATCAAAGGAAAATATGTTAAACAAGGAGAAGAAGCATACACATCTGTTTGTATGTATGACTTCACATACAACGATTTATACATACACACATTTCAAAGTGTTTCGGCGTCAACTGTACATGAAAAAAAATATAAACAACATTTCACATGCCGAAGCAAACTGAGCGCATTTCTCTCAAATTTGAATGCTTTAAGGGTTGATAGTGCGCCGAAATGTGTAGCTTGTAGTATGGAGTGTAGTGACAAGGACGAGCAATGAAATTTCTGTAGGAAAATGTATACACACTTTCATACAAAGCCAATGGCATATGCTTAGAAAATGTAAGGAGTTAGTAGCAGTATTTTGACTGAGAATTGGCTAGTAATGATAAAACTATGGCATTGAATTTCAATACTGTTTATGGATTTTTTTTTGTTGTTTTTGAAGCGAAAGGTGTTTCTAGTTGATTTTTTTCGTTATCTATTACATGCAACGAACTAATTTGTTAATATCCGAAACTCGTACTGAATTACTGTTTTTTTCAAATATTTACAATAATAACTAAAATATCACAGAAAATCTGTCATAAAATAAAGTTATATTCTAAAAGAAATGCCTGCACTGCTGCCTGTTTATTTACATTTTTTGGTAGCACCTAAAATGATGGTATTTTTTGTTTTATTATGAAATTTACTTTTAAAACTCAGAAAAAAAATTTCAGTAGCACCTCTTTCAAAAACATACGAAATTCGCACACTTTCGTCCGTAAACACATGAATTTGATTTTTTCCGAAAACGGTGTGGACAACACTGCTGAGAACTACACGCCAAAGCAGATAACAATACATCCAAATAAACATATACACACATCAACTTATATGTATGTACATTTGTTTATTCTCGCTTGAAACACAAAATTTTGAACATGAGAAGCCCAAAACAAATAATGATTGCAATGCAACAACAAAACAACAGGAAATACAAACGTTTTGTTGAGAGTTACAGCAATGCAATAACAACAAAAACGCTGCTGAAGGGATGCGAGAGCGCAGAAATTGCAAATGCATTAAAAATGCTCGAGAATGCGTACAACCTGAAATGTGAGCATGCAAAGGCAAAGAGAGCGAGAGTGAGAGCGAGAGCGAACAACGCAGCCAAAGCAAACGAAACTGAAGAGCTCCGCAAAACAAAGATTTAAAAATGAAATTAAACGATGAATATGTAAGTAATTTTGTCGTCGCCATCGGGTAGAAAACATTTTGAAATATACGTTGCTAGCGTTGAAACGATTCAGTTGTAATTCAGCGAGTGAGCGCGTTACTTATATTGTGGATTGTTGTGAGTTCGTTTTCACTAAAAGAAATAGTGCTGGCAAACGAGCTACGACAACGGCTAAAGAAAAAGTTAAATTATTAGCAAAGGAAAAAATTTGTGAATTATTTTATGTGCAGTTAAATTATTAAAATATTTCTATGTTTCTGCCTGCATATAAAATATATTGATATTAAAAGAGAAAGAGATATACTTAAATTAATTTATAAATAAATAAACTTGTGAAATTTTGCCTTGTGAGTTGGTAACTCATGGAATAAAACCACAAAAACGTGTAAAAAAGAACGCAAAAGTAAAAGCATAAAAATGTTTTCTATATAAGGATTAGAAAAAGACTAACAAAAAGGTTGAAGAAAGCTAAACCAATATCATATATATAATAATAAAAAAAAGCCGTGATAACTGTGTATTTACATATGTATATGTAAAGCAAATATAAACTGTGATAAGAACTGTTAAACTAAAATATAGAACCGTGACATTTAACATTAACAAGCAACAAAATGCATAACGTAAATAATGTACTAGATCAACATAACATTGGTGTTTCGCCTCACCTAAAAACGCACGTTGGCGTTTTAAACTACTCACCACCATCACCCGCTTCATCGCTCAGCTCCGAATCACTGGATGGTGATATAAACTCACCTGGTCCGTGTTCTCCAGCGTCTGCTGCAGCTCGTTTGCATGGCAGCAATGATGGTGATGACCATTTTTGTACGCCGAAAAAATCGCTGGCGGATTCTGGCGTGCTGGGACGCATACGTGTAAAACTGGGCACACCTGGTGTACTCTGCGAAATGCATGCCCTTAGCACTGAACAAAGAGCTAATGTGGATACGGCGAAATTGTTTAAAAATCGTTTTCTGCTTAGCACCTCAGTGCATAAGCTGCCTTTAAGTCATGCTGCCAAAACGCCCGCCTCTTATCGTCATCTCGTTGGTCTCACCACTTCCACGCTTAAATGTACCGATGTGTTTACTAACGCCGAATATGGTTGTAAAGTTATCAACGAACCATTTCCCAAGGTGCAACGTGCATATTATGATATAAAATGTGCAGGTGAATTGGCGCGTAGCTCTTTGTATGGGCACACGCTGATAAGAGATGTACATGAAATTGTGCCCGCGGATAAGTCACGTTCCTATCTTGTCATTGCACCGCCAAAAGCTGAAGAAGGTGCCGAGGGTGTATTCGAAGATCTGCATACTTATATGAGACAATGTAGACGACTTTGTGATAAGGAGGCAAAAGCTTTGTTCCATCAAATAGCGGAGACAGTGCTACTCTGTCACAAAAATGGAATTATTTTGCGTGACTTAAAGCTGAAGAGATTTTTCTTTATTGATCAAGCGAGGTAAGTTTATAAAAATATTTAGTTAGATTAAATAGAATAAAGGTGAATAAAAATGCGAGAATATTCATAAATTGCGTTCAAAAACAAAAATCCATCAAAGTGTACATAAAAATTGAACAAATCTTAAAAGAGTTAAAAAAAAACTCCGCCAGAAAACCTTAACTTATGCTCTGCTCTCTTCATTTATGAGGGGCACCTCTTACTACATTGAGTATTTTATTTGTTTACTTCTCAATAAAGGTTTGTACAGAGCGGCAGTGTGAGCGCTCGTCGTTTCACAGCCACGTTAACAGATATCGTACTGTCGAGCAGACTCCACTCTGAGTTGCGGGAGTTTGTAATCTGACTCTTTTACGCTCACCACAACTCATTTAAAAAAAAACCTTCAATTTCAAACCCAAATTTATTTACACATGATTGTTTGATTATTTGTATATGTATATTATTAATTATTTTGCAAGACGCTCTCGTGTATAAAGTAAATGAAATATTGAAAAGACACAATCGCACAAGCACTGTAAAAACTCGTTATTGCCATTAACGCGAGCAAACTTGACTTGATGGCCACATAAACGACGTTACCGAGCGGCTGCTGCTGCTGCTGCGCCAAACAAGATTGCCGATTGCAGCGCCAAACAAGATTGCCGATTGCAGCGCCAACCGCTCACACGCATTCGCAATAACATTGAACGGCTGAGGTGGGGAGGGCGCAGAGCACATGCGAATCAGCTTTTTATGAGTTGAGGAGCAAGGCAGGCAAGGAGTGAGCGTTCGTTCAATGCAATTGTGACTTGTGGTGGTGGTGGTGGTGGTGCAATGCGTTGTCATTATTGAGCAACAATTGCTTGGGGCGCTGCAATGTTTGGCGTTAAATGGAGGCCATTTATTTTGTCCATAGCGTGTGGCTGCGGATAATCAATGTTGACGATTTATTATGCCGAAAATTCGAAAATCACTCGCGTTGAGAATGGCGCGCACGTGTAATGCGTGCATTGCGACATGTTACAGCAGATTAAAAGAAAAAAAAAAAAACAAAAATATTTCACTGAAAAATGTTTTGCTGTTTGCCTGATCTCTTTGTAATTTTATTTAAGGTAGTTTATGTACCAATTCGCGCTGACAATCAAAAAAGCGTATTTCCAAATCCATCTGTCTGCTCATAATTGCTACATTTACTTGTGTATGAATGTCTGAAATGCGATAGAGCAAACGAGGTGTGCCCTCAACAGCACATTGTGAGCGTAGCTACGCAATTTTTGACGTTGCACAAATCCATACACTCAGCTACAAAAATTTGAGGATAGTTTTGTTATCGAAAGAAATAAGCGAAAAAATTTAAAAATTAAATATAAATGAATCATTGTTAAGGGGAAACTATTATTCTAGTAAAAAATATTTAAATTCGTCATTCTATGTAATTATTTTTTTTTTTTTGTTTTACATATTTGATTTATGTTTATTATTATTTTTATTTGTTTATATTTTCCATATTTATATTATAATTATATTCATTGTTATTACCGTTTTTTGTGATGCTTTTTCCAAGTTGGTACTCTTATCCATTATAAAAATGCCTTTTGCTTTTCAAAAAATTTTATGTAGTTTTTGCTCTTCCACTACATATTTTTATAATTTTGTAACAAAGTGTATGGCTGAATGTGTTTTTTTTTTCTGGGCGCCAGACACATTTTAATGTAATGGGTCTTTTAAAAAATGCCGCAATTTTGATGAGAAATAGTGGTTGTTGAAATCATTTAATAAACGACCCACTCACTCACATATATTCGTATGTGCAATGACTCAGTTGAGTGAGTGAGTTATTTTGATAGAGAGAGAGAACGACAATTAGACTGCTAGAGAGTGCAAAGTGTTTCAAGATCATTTCGAAATGTTGCTTAATCAATTTTTAAGAGTTTATAGGAAAATTTTAAAACTTTGTCAGGAAAAAAAGAAACAATCTTATAAAAAAAGGAAATTTTTGTGAAAATAATTGTCTTTCTTATTTCTTATAAACACCTACTTATACCACGTATTTATTTTTGCGTTGAGTAGTTTTTTATAGATAACATCAGTGAGAGAGAGCAAAATAATGCGAAACATTGCTAAATTATTTTTAGGTTTTAAAAATATTGAATATATTTTTTTAATAAAAAATTGTTTTTAACTAATTAATTATTTGCCAACTTAAACATGTTTCGAAAACAATATTTTTTAGTTCTCTTGAGATTAAAACAAAGCATTTGCAATTGAGAAAAAGCATTATTAGCTAATGGCTAATTTAGCTGTATTTCGGAAAGTTGTGAAATAACGGAAAAATACATTACAGTTTATTAGTACTTCTGAGTAGAAAATATTTCAACAAATATGGTTTGTTTAGAACCGATTTAGTAAATTTGCTTTATTTATTATTAAAATTATAATAAGTTAAAAATAAAAGTAAAATACATAATTATAAAACACAAATACATATTAAAAATAAAAATAAAGATAAAAAATAAGAATATATAATATATAAAATGAAAAAAAATTAGAATATAATAAAATACAAAAATATTAAAAATATAAACAAATTAGAAAATATTAAATTAATAATAATATTAAAAAATAAAAAAATAAAAAATATTAAAAACTAAAAAATATTAAACAAAAAAAAAATTATAAAAAACCAAAGAAAATACAAAAATATTAAAAACTAAAAAATATTAAACAAAAAAATTATAAAAAGCAAAGAAAATATAAAAATATGTCAAATTTAAACATGTGAATCAAAAAAATATTATCTAAATTTTCGAATTTTATAATACATTTTCCGTACCTATTAGATTTCGATATTTTTGCGATTCCGCTCTCTCACCAGTGTTTTCTCCAAAAAGCCACTTTGTGAAATTTCTTGGAACATCGCAATACAACTGATGTTGCCATTGCCCATTCGGCAATTAATACAACCACCCACTCATTTAAACATTTGTACATGCTCCCATGGCCAAAAGCGAGCCGCTGGCTAAAAGCGCTTCAAGCGCTTTGGCAACATTTGCTTTTTGTCTTCAAGCTCCCTTTTGGCCGCCCCATGGTCTTGCTTGTGCTGTACTTCGTTCGAAATAAGTAATAAACCAAATGAAAAATAGCAAATATAATGGACGCTTGTAAATAATTAAACAAAAAAAAAATAGTTTTTGCTCATTTTTCCAAATCATTAGGAAACACACCTCGCTCACGAGCTGGCGCACAACGCGCAACGCTCAGCGCTCAACAAAACAAAAAGCCAAAAAATGTAAAATGAGCGAAAAAATATGAAAATGTTGCCAGCATTACATCAACAATACCTGTTTGTCTACAAATCAATTTTGTTGCCATGCCGTCAGCGTGTCATGTTTAAGCAACATGCTTGCCGCTGCCACCACACAGCTGCTACTGCCAGCCAGACAGCGGGCTATTGCGACAAGAATTTTTGCGATTGCGAATGCCGCAATTCTTGTTCTAGTTAATAATGCTACATACATAAATACATACATACAAATGTATATACAAATAGCTCTTTGTTTTTATTATTGCCGTCTAACACCAATAACGCAATCAGCTTGACTTGTTGCCAGCAATTTCAACGTATTTCTTTACCACATATTTTTATCGTCGCCTTTTTTTCGCTTTTTTTCTTATTTCTTATTTTTTTGTTTGTTTGTTTTTACATTATTCTTTGCCTTTGCTATTTTTACTTTTTTACACGTTTTTTTTATATGTATTTATGTTTGTATGTATGCAATTTTGGTGCCATTGCCATTGCAATTTGTAAATTGCTTGAGTTTTCCGCTCTTTTGATTGCTGTTGCGCAGCTTACATTTGTATGTACGTATATACATACATTTATAGTGTTTATTGTGCTCGAATAGCAGCAGCAGCAGCTGCTGTTATTGGCGTTTCGTCTGTGGCTGCCACTGTCAGTGCTGGCGGCAGCAAAAGGCGTATGATGATGACCATCATCGTTGCCATTGCGCATTTGCTCTTTTATTAAGTGTTGATTGTTGTTGTTGCTGGTGCTAGTGTTGGCAATGTGGTAATAGCGCAAACGCAACAGTTGCTAATGATTGCTATTTGCGCGTGTTGTTGTTGCTTTTGGTTCGTTTTGTTGTTGCTTTTGCTTTTGTTTTTGTTTTTTTTTATATTTATATTTTTTCCTTTAAAGTTCGTTCTTAGACGATGACGTAGGCGTTATTGAGGTCATTAGAGCTTTAGCAACAATGACAGCATAAACGGAGAACAAAACTCGCCACTCGTCACTCGCTATAAAGTAGCTGATTGACAAGAACTGAACTGAAGCCATCATTCATTCATTTCACATAAATTAATTTCTCAAGAACTTCCACGTCGTGGAAAAAGAGCAAAAAGAAAAACCACAATTGCTGATATAATTTTTTTATTATTTTTTTTATTTTATTTATTAAGTCGAATTTCGCGCTCATTAAGTGACATAAATTGCTAGTTGATTTTGCAATTGTTTGCTGGTGTTCTTGTTCTTGCTTGCATAGCAAATTGCATAATGGCAGCGAATTGTCATTACAGAGCAACAATTATACGCAAGGTCATAGCAATAGTAGTCCAAATAAGCGCTGAGAATTGGTTTGTTAAAGTTGTTATTGATTGTGAAAAAAAATATTGTAGTTGAACTTATTTTATTGCAAAATAAAAAATTAAAAAAAAAAATGTAGTAAATAATAAAAAAGAGATAAAAATAAAGAAAGTATAAACAAAAAACTAAAAAATATATAAAAACTTGAAAATAAAATATTTTTTTTTTATTTTATAAAAAAAACAGGAAATGTAAGTAAATAAAAACAAATAATAATATATTGAAATTTAAAAAAATATAAAATGAAAAAGAAAAAAATTTGAAGGAATTAGATTTATCAATTTTGAAAACAAAATCATATTCCATTCAAATTGTTTACAAATTGTTCAAAAGAAAAATAAATAAAATGTAAATAAAACTAAAAAAGGAGAAAAAT